GGGCCGGGGCGGCGCGCGCGGGGGCGGGCGGCGGGCGCGGGGCCCGGGCTTTACCTGCCTTTGGAATGTGCAGAGCGGGATCGGATCCGGACTCCGGGTTGCGATCCGCTCCGGAAACTGCGCAGCACCGGAAGCCGCGGGGCGGCGGCGGGGCATTGTGGGAGTTGTAGTTCTCTGCGGGCGGCGTGGACGCGGGAGCCGGCTAGAGGGCGGCGTGGACGCGGAGCCGGCGGCTTGGGCCGGGAAGCGGACGGCCTGGACGGGGAAACGGGCGATGTGGAGGGGGAACGGTGGAGCGGACCGCACGGCCCGGGAGCGGGCGAGAGGGCGGCGTGGACGCGGAAGCGGGCGGTGTGGACGGGGAGCGGGCGAGAGGGCGGCTGGACCCGGAGCGGCAGCCTGGACGGGGAAGCCCGCGGTGTGGACGAGAGAGCGGAGGAGCGGTGGGAGTGGACGGGGAAATGGGCGATGTGGAGGGGGGACGGGGAAGCTGGTAGCGCGGACCGGGAGCGGGCGGGAGGGCGGCGTGGACAGGGGAGCGGAAGGCATGGACCGGAGAGCAGCAGGGCGCGGGTCGTATGGACGGAGAAGGTGCACAGACGGTTGGAGCAGGAGCGGATGCGGCGGAAGGGGGAGTGGGACTGCGGAGCCCGTGCACGGGGGGAGCGGGAGTGGCATAGACAGGGCAGTGGCAGGGCGCGAGGGGATGCACAGGGCAGTAGCGAGGCGTGGACGGGGTGAGCGGGTCGCGTGGATCCGGATCGGCCGGGAGAAGCGGGCCGGCTTCCGGCTGTCCTTTTCCCCGGGGCTGGAAGGGGCGTCCGGTGCCCACGTGCAGCCCCTTCCTCGGTGGCGCAGCCCCATCCCGCGACCCACGACAGCAAAGCGCTGGCAGCTCGCACGGGTGCCCTCCCCCCACCCCGTACCTTTTTTCTGATGGCCACGTCAAGCCTTAATTTCCTTTTAGAGAGTTAGGTGGGAGAGGGAGTCGAATTTTTCTTTAAAATGGGTCTAAGATTTGCTGCCTAATCATAATGATTTGTGAATTTAGCCCACGGGCTGCTGCAGTCATCTTTCTGTCCACTTAATAAACGCTTAGAAGCGCTTGGTTTGCTTAGAAGCGCTTGCTTTGCCTCCCTCCCTCTCCCGCCCCCACCCGCAAGCCCCCTGAAGTAGAGGAAGGCCGGCAGTTCGCTGGGAAGTGGAGACCAGGCATTTAAGTCCAGAGGGAGTGAGTTCCAGAATCCCCGCCTTAACCGCTACCCGACACTGCCCTGTGGAAAGTTGGGACGTCAACCTGGGGTGCGAAATTGAGGCCAGACCGCTCCCTGGCACTGAGTGTTTCTGCCTCCTCCCACCTCCCAAATTCGGGGGCTTGGGTGGGCACTTGACTCCTACCTTTCAGTGGACAAGAGACCACAGGGTATTAGAAATAGAGGGGGCTAGATGGATCATTTATCTAGTTCTGTGCTGTCACATTCAGAGATGTAAGCTGTCTTGTTCATTTTTGCCTGGCAAAAGCCTTCATTAATAAAGTCAGAGAGGAGATGAAATGGAGGAAATGATTTGAAATTGATATTAGAAAGGATTCGTCCCCCTCATATGTGTAAAGCTCTCAAGAATCAATAAGAAAAAGATAAATAACTGAAAAATGAACAGTCTACAGACCGTTCACAGAAGAGAAAATACAGTGGCTCTTAAGCATGTGAGATGCTAGTCAACTATACTGTAATAAGAGAAAGAAAAATTATGGTGATATAATTGTTACCTATTACATTAGTAAAGACTTTTAAAGTTTAATAGCATGACTGTGAAGAGACTGTAGAGAAACAAGCAGTCTCATCCTTTCCAAGTGGGAGAATTGATGAACAGCCTCTGCCCTGGCCATTTGTTAATATCCATAGAAATTCAAGGTGCACATAGCCTTTGGTGCAGGAGCCCCACCTGTAGGAATCTGTCCCACAGCCAGACTCACTTGTGTGAACTGGTTTGCATGTGAGGTTGGTCTTAAGTACCCACTGGAAGAGCAGGTCCACAGGGAGCAGGAGAGAGCCCACCGAGCGCGATGCGCTGCTGGGCTCATCTTCCCACCCAACCCTGTCCCGGGACATCCTGCAGTGGCTTCCCAGGGCACTCACAGGTAGGTCTGAACTGTGGCCTCCCACACCTTGTTGATCACCTCACCTGCACCCTGCTTGTGCCCTGCCCAGCTGTGAAATCCCAGCCTCCCTCCGGCCTTCTGTTCTCAAGATCTTGGAACACAGTCCCAGGTTCCCCACCACCATCTCCCCACCATTCAGGTCTTTGCCCAAATGCACGCCAACTCCCAGGAGCCCCAAACTGACCACAATGGCCAACTTGCACCCCCTCTCCACCTACACAGCCCTCTAGTGACATCACTTGCAATTCTCACGCCCAGATGGCTAGTTCTCTGGTCTCTGCACACCAAATAGGTACTGGCACTTGTGCACGAAAGCAGGTCATTTACAGGAAAAAGTGATAGGTCAGAGCAAGAGTGAAGAACAAAGCAGGCAAGACCTCAACCCACCTAAAGCCATTTCTCATGGCAATGTGCACAGCACAGGGCTGGGGTCCATGTTCCCAAATGCCATTGCATCTTCAAAAGAGTTCTGAGTGTGTTCAGAATTTTTCCGCTATGAGGGCTGGAAATAATTCCTTTTAAGGCAGATTTATATCCAAAATCTAAAGTTAAAAAAGTTGTGTCGCTCAGAGTTGCTGAAAGTGCCAAATTCTCATTGATAGCAAATGCAGCAGGAATTCCCTGAATCCCAGGCAGAAAAACCATCCATAAAGGATGTTACTGAGGCAGTTGGAGAAATGTGAATATGGACTGTGAAGCTAGATAATAGTGTTGCATTAATGTCAAATTTCCTAAGCATGATAATTGCATTGAATTATAATAATGAGGATGCCTAGGTTCTTAGAAAAATGCCTTCTGAGGAATTTAGGGGAAACATGAAGTCTTCAAACTACAATTGATTGATCGAAAGATGATTGGATAGAGCAAATGTAGTGAAACTAGTGAATCTAGGTGAAGGTATGTAGGTTATTCTGTAGGCTTGAAATTTTGAAAAATTTACTGAGAGGATTTTAAACAGAAGAGCTTCAGAGTTCAGTGTTAGTGGATTTTCCTTCCCAAACAGACTAGCTGTGGCACTAAGATGTAGTCACCCTGCCCTGTGGCGCCACGCTGGGGGTGATGCTCTCAGCCTGTCACTGGCCTGCCTTACACGTGGGCTTTCCAACTAATGTGTCTCATCAGCTCTGGTTTGTTGTTAATTTAAATACAAACCTCCTTTGTCAGGGGACATCATGGATGCACACATCCTAAGATGCCCCTCTACACCACGTGTAGCTCTTGCTTTCAGTCTGGCTTAATTCTTGCCCATCCAGATAAAGAGGGACAGAATCAGCAAATAACCTAATTCCTGCTATGAGCAAAGTAGCGCGTTCCATCATTCTCACCTGTAACAGCGCGTTAAAGTTCAGGAAAGTCTATATGAGGCCACAGTCCTCTGTCTCTCCGTTTGACACGAGGTAGAGACTCGTGGTCACGAGCAGGGATTCTCCAGCCAGACCGCCTGCGCTCAGATTCTGGTTCTGCCACTTAGCAGCTTTGTGAACTTGGGCAAGTTTACTTAACCCCCTTGTGCCTCAGTTTCCTGACCCGTAAAACTGAAACGGATCATCACTCAAAGAGTGTAGGAGTCAATACGTGTCAAACACTTTGAAAAATTCCTGGCACCCTGTAAGTGCTCAGTTAGGGTTAATTATCATCACTGTGAGCGCTAGTCTTTCTCTCCCAGTAGTTCTCTAAAACACCAAGTAGCCCAAAGCCTGAGCAAGTACCCAACTTGACTGCAAATGCTGGTGACATCAGTGTAGTCAGCAGTTTTGAATGCCTGGCACAGGCAGGGCACGGCTTGGCAGTTTGCAGGCCCTGACACAGGGCGGAGGTGAGCTGTGGGAGAGGTGAGAGAGTCTCCGTGGGAAGAGGGTCTGGCCTGCAGCCTTCCCTGAGGGCAGGCGCTGCACTAGCCCATCCATCCTGGTGTCCAGTCCTCCGTGGTGAGCCAGCTGCCTTTCTTTTTTATGAACTGCTTATTGACATACACGCACAGTGCCTTGTATTTGCAGGGGGAGACTGAGGTCAAGAACAGCATGTTTTTTGTCCTGTGCACACCCTCCAGGTCTAGCTCTGACCCTGGGCCCGATGAGTGGGGCAGGATGGGTGTAAGCAGACTTCCCGGACGAGCTGATTTATATAAAGCTTCCAGCTGATACCCATCACTGCTCTAAGCGGGCATCACCCTGAACCCAGGGGGTATGGGCACTTACATTCTTACCAGGGTACAAGTCTACGAGAGAGTGAGAGGGGCCAAGTGATAGGGACTGCAGGGTGCTGATGGAAGCGCCCTGGGCATCCTTGGTGGCCAGGCGCCTCATGGAGAAGGCAGGGCTTGTGTTTGGTTAGATCATGAGAATGGGGAGGGGTGTGTGCTGGAGACAAGGGGGGCGCATTCCAGAATGACCAAGGTGGCTTGGGCTGTGTAAATGGGACTGGCACGAACACGGCACGCACCTACAAGTGGCCGGCAGGAGGTCAGGTTAGGGAAGCCGGCCATCCAGCAAGTCCATCCACACTCCTCCTGGAGCGTCAGCACAGAGTGGACCACCGGTCACACAGGAAGCAGCAGTTCCAGCCCAGGCCCCGGGACACCTTAATCCCAACCAAGATGCCGTGCCATGGCCACCGTCCACGTCCAGAGCAGACTCTGGAATCCAAGCCCTGCTAATGCTGGGGCTCTCCACGGGGAGACTCTTCCTTGGAAATGCAGAGTGTGCATCAGATGTGGCTCCCAAGTGACCACTCCACCTCCTAAAGGATGGGCATGGTTGGGACCTCTGAGAGAAGGGCTGGGGGCCAGGGCCTTGATCTCTAAGTGCTGGGCACCTGGGCAGAGCAGGGGGGATGAAACTGAAGGAAACTGATCACCAAAAAAGAGACGCGAGGCCTGCGGGGCTGGCACAAGACACCCCAGCCCTCCTGGGACCCTGCCCAGCATCCGCCCCTCTGACCTCACACTGCACCGACCCTCGGGTGACCACAGGGGCGGGGTGATGACAACGAGGTGATGGAGGGATGAAGGCTTCACTCACGAGGGGACAGCACTCCTCAGAAGGTTCCTGGAGGTCACACAGGGTCACACGGCCGCTGGGGCACCCAGGGCAAGCAGCCCATGGCTCATAGCGGCTACAACTCACCAGGACCCGGAAGCTCACTGGACACCTTGGCTTTCTAGCACGTGATTTTACCCCCAGGCCTCAAACAGGTGCTGAGTAACTGAAAGATCCTGTAAGAACGTCAGCAGAAGGGCTCTTCCGTTATGCCCGCTGACCGTGGCGGCCACAAGCAGTGACCGCCAAGGCGCCTGATGAAAGACGCCGGTTCTGGGACCCTCAAAGAGGCTACCGGGCTGCGGGGACAGCACAGGACTCGGCAAGAACAACTCGGTGTCTAGTGTTCTGTGTGCACCTTTATTTCCTTCAAAGACCACTCGTGTTCCAGCCACATCTCCGAACGAACCCAGCCGCACAGGGTCGACGCGGGCTGTGGACCGCGCTGCCCAGGATACAGTCGTTTTGTACATGCATCACGACACTGGTCATCAGGTCAAACCTCTCCACATACCTGGACCGCCTTTTATTTTCTTTAAAAATATGTAGCTTTGATATGATATTGGGGGAAAAAACCCATAAGCCTAAATTATAAATGGCACGTCGCTGGCTAGCTGGGAGGTGAGTGAACGGTGAACGGGGCGAGGTCATGTTACCTCGACTGCCTCCTCACACCAAAGTAGGAATGCCAAAAACAGGAACCAGAGAGCTGTAACCTGAGTTTGCTGTGCAGGACTTAGCGGTGTTGGTGTCTCCGTGCCGCTGGCTTTGGTCATCACACCTTGGTGGGTTTGAGGGGGTGGAGGCAGGGTCTGCTGTCAGGGTCCAGGCCAGTGCTGAGACCCGTCCTCCATCTGGTAGCGTTAAATGTTCTGATTTCCAGCGTCCACCAACTCATGCTTTGAGGTTTCAAGACCAAGAATGGTGAGATTATAAATCAGGAAACATTGGAATTTTGTGGCAGCCGCGTAAGTTCATCTCTCCCTTTCTGCTCAAGAAGAAAAACTTGCAGCTTCTAGAGATGTGGCCAGTAAAACCAATCAGAAATCTAGGCAGGCGCCCAGCTTGTGACTGGCTGGTGGTGATGGGCCGGGGAGCCATCTTTGGGAATCCAGTGCTGCTTTTGACCTTCAGCTTGAGACCTGGATTTAAACAGTGCTGGGTCTAAACCTTCCTCCTCACAGCAGGTTTCACCCGGCATGATGGCGAGACGGGTACTTCTGTTAATGCCGTGAAAACACACACACTTAAAGGTCCATTTCATTCCTCCACAGAGAACACAGGCGCGTCCTTATACGAACCAGAGTGCTGCCAGCTCGTTAACCCCAGCGTGAGCAGCTGGTTCCAGACATCCAGACACACGTTAATATTAGTGTTCAGGAGAAATAGCTTTTAAAACACCGCTCTGCGAAAATTTCATGAAGACCAAAACCAAAAGCCCTCAAACCACTCCGGCGTGTGCAAAAGGTAAGGGAATAAGGCGACTCACAAATTAGCACGTTTTGAATTCGGTGTGCCATCCTAACTGACGTTCGGCCTTGGCGACACTCACTGTAACATAAATACCCTACACCACTTGAAAAAGCAAACCTGGGTCCACAGCTCGGGAAGGAACCGTTCGCAGCAGCGGTGCAGCCCACGTTGTCACGGTGCTCTCCTGGCCCCGCTTTTCTGTTTGCTTGTCGTATCTCCTGCTCCGTTAGTGACCTCCGTCACTTCCGGAAAGGCCACTGACTGTGGCTGTGTCTGTGCGTCCTGGGGGTGAGCTTCGGGATCCACTCAGATGTGCCGGCTTCCCCAAGTACACCCGGCGGACCCGAAGGTCTCCCCGGCGACACTCTCCCTCGTGTTAATCCCCGTGTTCCTCACACACCGGGCGGACGCAGGCCCCCCGACACCATCCCAGGGCCCCAGAGAGATTTCCAGTCACGAGGGGCCTGAGAGCAGCGCTCTTGAGGAAGGTGTTGAACAGTGGACTGGACGCTCATGGAGTCAAACAGGAGTGGGAATGGCTAAGACATTTTTTAGAGCGAGAAAGTTGAATCTAAATCCCCAACATCTTCACACTCGAATAAATGGAATCCAGCTGAATTTCAAAATCAAATGAACAAAAACCTGCATTAAAACCCTCTAATCAGTACCTGAAATTCGAATTAAACTAGAATCAATCCTGGAATGTCACGGCTCTGCTGACCAGGAGAGAGAACAATGATCCGTCAAGTCAAACAGAACATGAATAAACCCGCTGGTTCCACAAGCCCAGCAGGGACTGCTGGCCCGTGGGGGCTGACTCAGTGGTAACACACGATAGTTTGGACGGCCGGGTGCTAGTTTACAATGATTACAATTGAAATATAACCTTTAAAAGCAAAATATGGTGAAAAAGTCATTTTACAGTCACTTGATAATTCTTGGGACACCTAAGAATTTTTAAGAATGTATTCAAAAATAAAATTCTTAATGTAGTTTTCTAATCTCTTCCTCAAAAAAAAGAAAAGAGGAAAAGACGAAATTCTGTAATTTTGGTTTTTACAAAGGTTTTCGTTCCCCCACAGCTCGATTACCCCGAAATATCTGCTTAAGGATTAACAAAAGCACCCGGAGGAAGGGACGCTCTCAATTTCACACCCGTGACGGAAGCCACATTTTCCTAGTAGACTTTAAATCTTATTGGAGGAAAATGAATCTTACTTAACACCTTTCACCCTGATGACAAGTGTTGTTTAATAAGCACGTCCCCTAAAAGTGGCTCTTCCAGAAGGAATGGATGATGTGAGAATTGTGAATGAAACCTGGCGGAAAGGCGCACTGATGAGGAAAGTGGTTTGGAAGACACACGGGGGTATTAAAATCCTGTGTCAAGCTTACCGTTTTTGTCCACTGGCAGTCAAAGCAAGAGCATCCCAAGCTGTGTTAAGCACACTGTCCACAGCAGATTCCGACCCGCTCATAAAAAGACTCTGATGCACGTTTGGCTCATTTGTTACTAAACTTCCATTCCTAAGACTCACACCTGAGACATGAAATCATTTCCTCTCTTGCCCTGAAAGTACTTTGTTTCAGCTATTGGCAACATTTGGCAAACCCACCTCGGACAAAAGAAAAACCGTGCACGTGTGGGTAGCAGATCCTACGAGCTGTCGCTCTCTGCCCCTAACTTCCTCCAACAGGCTCCCGGCTCTCGTTAGCGAGGACGCCGGCGGCATGAGGACGTCCATGTGTTGAGGGCTCTGTTGCTATTATTAGAGCTTTTGATGCTGTAGAGAAAAATGTAAAAACCACATAAGAATTAATACATCTCCCACTTGCAAATAGGCTCAAAGTAAACTTAGAAAAGTGTTCAGCATAATATGCATAGGATATATTTAGTATTTGCATAATTTTTCAAGTTATATGGCTAATATCAAAGGCAAATGTCTCCCTACATTTGTCTGAGTGTTTCCGTTCCTACAGCAACTTCTGTTTCCCAAAAGTCCTGCCTCTGTCCCACCTCTCAGTACTCAGTACTCGCAGGCGGGCTGCACTTTTTATTCTGAGCAGCCCGTTCGGAGAGCTGACCATCCATTCTGTTCACAGTGACAGCACAGAGGGAGCCTCCTCATTGTGACGCGATCCAGGCACGGACCTAAAATGACACCTGTTAGAGCACAAAGGGCGGAGGTCAGGGCCCCCGCCCTGCCCGTCCACAGTCCACCAGAGGGAGTTTTGTGGGTCCCCCTGTAAATACGCCTCTCGCGTTTAACTTCCACCCTCACACGTGAGCATAGCCCGCGCGGTGGAGCCGCTGGGTCTTGTGGCTTCTGGTGGCAAACGGCTTTGTCAGTTCTTTCTGGGAGAGATCTCCTGGCTGGAGACTCAGATTTTTTTTTCCCCTTTAAAAGATGAAATTGTTGGAAAAAACCCAGCTAGAGCTGGCGGCCGTCTCACAGCTGGCTGGCCCTCCTGCGGGGTCCCGGCAGGTGGTTCCGGTGGGTGCGCGTCTGCAGCATTGGCGGTGCAGGGGGCTACGGGCAGGGGTCCACGGGGACGCTGTTCACAGTGCCCTGGCCCCTGTGCCTGGACAGCAGCTTCTTGTTCAGGATCCGGGCGAGGGTCGCCCCCTTCCTCCGCGCCCCCTCCGGCGGCTGCAGGAACACGAGGTCGTTGTGTGACTGGCTCAGGCCGGGGTCCTTCTGCTGGTGCCGCCGGCGGAAGAACAGCTTGGCGCCTTTCCTAAAAATCCCTCCTGCAAGAGCAAGGCACAGGGTCGGGGTGCTGGGCGAGGGACGCCGGGCGACGAGCCCGGGGGAAGAAAGAAGGCAGCGCGGACGACTCTAATGAGGAAGGTGAGCCCTTACTGCTGGCACCACAAAGACAGCTGGAGTCTGGTGTGTGCACAGCACTCAGGCTTCCAAGGCACAGAGAGAAGCTTAAAACGCGAACGTGGGAGCAGTGAGGTGCACTGTCCTTGGGGTCCATTCTCAGGGCAGGCACTCAGATCCGGACTTCCTGGTGTCCCCCGGCCTACCCACTCCCCTTCATTTAGATGGGCATAAAGGACAGGGGTGCCGTGCGCCCCAGAAAGGGTGCTCACGCCACTAAAGCCAGATGAAGGGCTCTGAGAACAGTGGCGTCCACTTTCTTGGGGAAGTTAAATTACACTTATTCTCCTGGGGGGTAAGAGCTCTCTGACTCCAGATCCAACGTACATCAGGCTGAGTCACAGGAAATGTCTTTCACTCGATCACTGTGGACCTACAGAGCCTCCGCTCCGTCTGCTGCTCTGACCTGTCTGTGTATGACGCCCAGCGGTGGGACGTGGAATAGAAGCAACTCAGCAGAGGCAATAATTTCAACAGCAACGGTTCCAAGGTCAAACGCAAGCCCACGCAGCAGCGGCCAGAACCCACTCACCTGCTGACACTTCACACATTAGCTTAACGTGCTATTGACAAGGCCCGGCAAGGCCCAGAGGCCTTTCCAGCCGGGCTGTGAAATCCATTATCATTTCCCTGAAGGTGATGACTTTGAAAGAAGACAGGCCTGACCGTCAGAAAAAGGAGCTTTAGAGCGAATTCGGCAATTTATTCTTTTCATAACACAGATCCAACAGATACTGTGATAGCACGACACACACAGATAGCCATCCAGGCTTATTCAGACGGGAGGCTGCAGGGCATCGCCTTGCTCTCCGTGAAATGCTCGGACAATGTGGAATCTGACCCCGCGCCTCCCTGGACCTTCGCGTGATTGCCACTCATCGCCGGGGAATTTAAGAGGCCACTTCCTGGACCTGGCCTCGGGGAGGAGTTCCCCTGACCAGCCTGCCCGGTGAAGCAGCAGAACTCAGAGACTCAACAGCTCCGAGGAATGGGCCCAACTTAATTCGGTCAAGGCTGCCGAAAAGACTTTTTTCTCCTTTTCTCTATGGACACAATCAACCTATCACGAAGACTCGGGACATTTTTTACGATTATCTACAGTCGGGAGGCAGTGTGCAGGGGGTTTCAGGGTGGCAAGGAAGGGAACGGAACAGGAGGGTGAGTACAGAAGGGTCGCTGGCTTTGCTCCTGTCACAGGCCTGATAGACTGCATTCCCAGGGCTGTTCCCATCCCTGTAAGGTGCAGTGTATCCCAAAGGAATCACCAGTTAGGGGTGTGTTACAGCACGGACCATCACCAACAGGGCAGGACTGTAGAGTCTGGCTGGTGGGGCGGATGCAGTGATGCCCACTGGTGAAGCACTCAGCTTATCAAATGCCCTGGGGCCTCCCAGCCCGACCAGAACCTCAGGTTGGGGGAAACTGGGAGGCATTTCTGACCCACAGGTATGTGCTTTAGGTTGAGCTTGGAGCTCCCAACCAGCACCTAAGTGTGGGGCTGTCACATCGGAGCAGAGGGGAGGAAGGAAGGTCTGGGGGATCCACTCGGTTAACATGGACTCTCCAACCCCACGCCCCACCCCGATCTCCCCAGGGGGAGGGAGCGTGGGCAGGGGAACAGACCAGTCCAGCCTCGGGCCAGCTGCACAGCTAGGGACGTGGAGGCCGGGCAGTGAGGATCTCTCGGGGAAGCCGCCACCTGCACAGCCCACTTCACGTCCCTGCGCTGAGCTTCAGGCGGGGTCTGGAGCCAGGGTCTGCAGCGTGAGCAGGGTCGGTGTTACAGGTTGGGTCATGTCCCTCCCAAAGTCCTATGTCGGGGGCCTCAGGATGTGACTTTATTTAGAGATGTGGTTATTACAGAGGCGATGAAGTTACAGTGAGGTCATTGGAACAAGCCCAGTCCAGTGTGACTGGTGTCCTTGTGAAAAGGGGACATCTGAACAGACAGGCACAGGGAGACGCCCTGAGAAGATGATGGCAGAGATCGGGGTGACGCTTCTAGAAGCCAAGGAACCCCAAAGATGGTTAACCCCCAGAAGCTGGGGGAGAGCCTAGGGCAGATTCTCCCACTCAGCCTCAGGATGAGCCAGCCCTGCCCAGGCCTTGATCTTAGATGCCCGGCCTCCGGAACTGAGAGAGAAGAACTCTGTCGTTTCAACCACCCCGTCTGTGGTTATGGCCACCCCAGGAATCCAGAAGGGGGAGGGGAGGTATGACTTCAGATGAGGGTCCTGAAGCGCCGGCCACGTCCTCCTGTTTATCCTTGGACCCTGGATGCCATGAGGAAGATCAGGGCAGGGGACTCACAGCAGAGTGGTGTTCTCAGCTCCAAGACACGCTGGAGGCGGGCAGCAGCCCTTTAAAAGTGCAGGCGCCTGGGCCCAGCCCTGTAGAATCTGATGTGATGGGCTCTGGGGACACACCCTGACATCAGCACCTTCTAGGGGATCCCAGGTCCCTCTAGTGCAGCTGGAAACCACTGCCGGGGTCAGGTCAGACGCCATCAGCGCCTGGAGCGCGGGACCTCGTTGCTAAGGACACAGACGTCAGCCCTGGGACCAGACCGGAGAGCAGAAAGTTGGCAGCACGTTCACTTCCCTTCACTTGGTTTTGTGATGCCCTCCACGTTTAGATGTCTCAGGGGTGCTGCGTGGGATGGGGGGTGGGGGACGAGGCAGCCCGCCCTGCGGGCACAGCGCCTGCTGCCAGGAAGTCCAGCTCTGCACCGGACTGAGAGAGAAGCCAGAACGTGGGGCCAGGCCGGGGGTGGCTGCGCTCAGACCTCTTCACAAAGGGACTCTGCACGCATCCAAGCCATCGCTTTAGGTTGTTTAAATGACGTTGTGCTTTAGATGCCTAAACTTCAAATTCTTGCCCCAGGAAGTTAAAACATCAAGGACTTCCCACCCGGGAACGGAGCTGGCAGAGCAGGGAGACCATTTGCCATATCGTTTAAATGGCTGCTGGTGGCTTCGCCCACGTCCAAGGCCCGCCTGCTCCCGGAGCATCCCTGCTCCAGCCAGCTGCATGCCTGCAGACGTGCGCTGCCCCTACAGGCCCGCAGCGGGGTCTCTCTGTTCTTCGTCCTCACTCACGCCCTCTGGAACAGGCGTGCGGCGGGGTCAGCTCTGCCTGTTCAGCGTTGATGCTGGGACAGGGTGACGCCACATGTACCCAGGTGCAAATCGTCCCGAAGTCATCTGCATGACTCAGCAGGCCTGCGCTCCCCTAACTTGACACGACTTGTCAAGGCTTCTGGGGGACATCGGCTCTTGGACAGAGAAGAGTCACGTGAGGGGAGGGATGGAGGTTTGCAAATTAGAGGCCCGAGCCCTGCTTACGTCTGGACGACCTCTGAGGGTGACCTCATCCCTCGCTGCCAAGTGAGGAAGCAGAGACTCGGAGACGCGATGTGTTCTGTCCTACCGACGGGGGCCCACGTTGCAAAGCTGGGCTGTCACTCCTGGTCTTCAGTGCTGCTAAGGATGGTGTCTGAGCTGGAAGGGGTGGGGGTCTGGAGGTCCCGTCCGTGGGCGGCCACTAGAGAGGCCTCCGGAAGGCAGGGTGGACACTGCTGTCAGAGGGATCGCAGAGCAGAGCCCAGCACTCAGGCAGGGCCTCAGACAGGCTTTCCAGAATGATGCGACTTTCTCAAGAGGCCCGTGGGCAGTGCGGGCAGGACAGGACATTCTAGCGATGTGAGCCCATCTCCAGGGCCCACAGTTTCACTCATCAAACATGAGGAATGACCAGCATTAACAGAGGTTACGCCGTCTTCATTTCTAAATGAAAATGTTAATGTCTGTTGTAACTTGGCCACTAAATCACCGTGACCTTTGGGGTAAATGACGCTGGGAGGACACAGCACAGGTGTGCTCGGTGGACGCCGATGCGGCCAGGCCACAGTGGGTGCGGGGTCGCAGCTCAGACGGGCGAGCACACCTCTC